GGCTTGGAGGCCAGCACAGGACTCATCCAGACCTCTTGAATGTGGGTGTCAATGAGGAGGCCTAGGCAATCTATTATGCCTTGGGTAGTAGATCAATATTTACCCTGGCATACAAATGGAGTTTGGGTGCCTATCCCACAATGAAGGATGGTCTCTCAGCCTGGAATCTTAGTGAAGGGCCTAGGCTCTGCCTTGGTCGAAATGAGAGACTCTGGAGATTCCCCATGGAGGCCCTCATTGGATTGGGGATTGGGTGGTGGACTGAGGGGTTGGCGGGGCACCATGGGAGGACAGGAGGAAAGGGAGCTGAGATTGACATGTTAAGCAACCTTGTTTCTAATTTAAATAAAAAAATCTTTAAAAAATGTCAAAATCATAGACAACTAGACCTGGTGCTTATCTCCTACTTCCTTGTGGTAATTTCCAGATGAATTTCTCAGATGAAACCCTGTATGCAGAAATCTGCTTTGTCTTAAAACATTTAAGTAAATTCCTGTATTCCTGCACGCTGCCATATTTTCCAACATTATGATAATAGAGTAAACCTGTGAAACTGCAAGTTACCCCAATTATAATATTTTCCATGGCCACAGTGTCTCTATCCAAAAAAATAAAACTCTAAAACCAGTAAATAATTTTCTATGAGGGAACACATTTAAGCATATATCATATAGTGCTTGTTAATATTATAAACACACATACCTGTCTATGTTTATAAATCTGTAAATAATCAATAAAAATGGCAATCAAAAAGATACAAGCTATTGCAATGATCAGCCATTTAAAGGAATAAGCTTATATAACACTTGTAGTAATTAAAGAATTTCAAGCTAAAACATAGTTTTCCTTTTGTTAGCAAAAGTTGAATACATTTATTTTACACTTCCATGCCTTAACACTGTACTTTCACTGTATGCTCTATCCATCAGTAGCCGGGACAGAGAAAAACACATCTTTTAACCATGTACTCCCGCTGGGAGTGCATCATCAGTTTCCTGAAGGTCAATTTTACTTCATGGATACAAGGAGTTTTAAGTCCTTGACTAGAAAAAGACTACTCAGCAGACAATGATCTCCTCAGTCTTTATATGTGGATTCTCGCACACAGGATCATTTGTAACCCTAGGAAATACTGGGAATGCACCAAGAGTCTAGTACTAGGACATTCATGACAGGATGTGCAGAGGAATGCAGAGGGGTATTGAAATGGCACCTGAAAAAGTTTGTGACATAGGAAAGGCTATAGCACTTTGCAAAGTGACAAAAAACTGTTAGGAGAGACTGTGTTTACAGTGTAAGTAAATAAACTACAGGATGCACATTGCAATGTCACCTGCTGTCCCTGGCTAATCACTACAGGAGAGAAGGATATACTTAAAAAAGTGACTCTTTATCCCGGGCATGGTGGCTTATGCCTTTAATTCAAGCACTTGGGAGGCAGAGGCAGGCAGATCTCTGTGAGTTTGTGACCAGCCTGGTCTACAAGAGCTAGTTCCAGGATGGCCTCCAAAGCCACAGAGAAACCCTGTCTCAAAAAAAAAGTTACTATTATATCACATATATCTTATTCAGCTTTTACAATGAAAACATTTAGTTTTAGACTTAAAAAGTAAAAATACAGGAGTATATAATTGTAGAATTTTATAGCAGGAAGACGCTTTTTAATCTTGGTTATGAGTCACTGTTAAGATTGGCACCTCTGTGCCTAAACTAACAGATAGCCCAAGCTAACTTCATCTTTACTTTCTTTTGCCTATACTGAGTAGTTTTATAGACAACACTAAATCATTCCCCTCTGACTTACTTTTAACAGCCTTCTTCAAAACAAAAACAAAACACTAATAGCCTCTTCTTGCCATCCTTTCCTTCCTTGGATTAAACTGGATGACTGTTTAAGGGAGTATAATAGTCACCACTCCCTCTGCCTTCCATTCCCTTCCATCCTGATTAGTTAACAGTAAATAATTCACTACTTTGCAGTTATATAGTACCTTTTAGTAAATGAACAGTCTTTCTAAACACTTGTTAATCCTAAACATACTCTTTGGAAGTGGGTAAAAATTACTAGAAAGAGAGAAAGAAACATCAGCTAGAAGCAAACAAAGAAGTCAATGAATCCATAGATTCGCTTGCTTTCTCTTCATAAAAACCAGTGCAACACTCTCCAAAATGAGGATCAATGTTATAGTGATAGTAAATAGAAAACTGAATTGTAAAAAAGGTGTGTAAACCTATTACGTAGACTTTATAGTGTTGGGAGGATGTGCTCAGGCTTCTGGCTTGAGTATCTGACTTCACCATTGAACAGGTCTGTGATATTGAATGAGCCATTTGGTTTTTTCTGGCTTTAGTTTTTTCCATGAAAATGGAGATCAAATGAGATTATAACTGTAAGACATAGGAAAAAGTTCCTTAAACAAGGTAACAAAAGTGGTGTTTGTGAACAGCTCTAAAATGGACCACTGTTTTAAAACATTGCACTGAAAGTAAGGAGACAACCCTTCTTGCCTTTGTGATAACAACATTAAATTTTATAGACCTGTTAAAAATGGAAAATCTCTCTGTGTCTCAAATCCATGGTTAGCAGAAGACATGCTTAAAAGTTAGAAGAGATTACCAGCTCATAATCCACCCTTGCCTTAACTGAACAAGAAAGGCCCTGAAGTTGCTGTGTAACTTTGTGAACAGACTGAAGGGAGAACCCTCTTCCAATAAAAAGCCCCACTTCCTGACATTCACAGGTTACTCTTCCTGTAACTCATGGGAAAACTGACATTAGCTTATTGCAGTAAACCAAAGACAATTTTCCTTCTTTACTTCTTCATCAAATGCAAAATATAGATGACTCACAAAACATAAAATTATTCACAGTGTTTCTGCCATGTCACCAGTGCTTATTTGACAAATAATTTTGAAAAATGTTATAACCAAATTACTTTATCCTAACAAGTTCAATGAGCAATTGTGTTACTTCTTAATCAATGAGCAATTTTTCACTGTGGAGAGCTTGAACGGGGTGAAGACATTCATGGCACAGGGGAAGAGGAATATATCCAGAAGAGTGCAATCTGTTTTCTTCCTAGTACAATCAATGCAAACTCTCTCCTAATGCATTCGATGCTAACATTTCCTAACATACTTCTGTTAACTCAAGTGTGTTTCAAAGGAATCAAATTTGATGTAACAGGATGTAAAATGAGGTGAGACTGCACATATACTTGCTTTTGTTTTGATTATTTTGGTTTGTACACTTAATACAAAAAGGTGATAATGTCGGTCAGATCACTGTTCTTTACTGGAAAGAAATGTCCTGGAGGACAGACTTATGTTTTACTTATGTGTTGTATACATATAGGCTATATACTTTTGTTTTATTGTTTTATTTTGTTTTTAATAGTCTGTGTGATTAAAACTAGATTCCCGTACATACTATTCAAGTGCTCTGCCACTACACTTGATTTTTTTGAGATAGGGTCTTACTAAACATCCCAGGTAATACACCAATTTCTAATACCCCTACTGCCAGGTTCTAAGTAGTTGTAATTATAGGAAGCACTACCCTATTTGACATATTCATGCTACCCAGCTCTTCTTCTCTCCTTACTTGATACGTAAGTGAATAACCAAGTAAACCAGCTTAATTCAGGTTCTTAGGCTTTTCAGTTTCTCAGTGCATCTTGTATCTTGTGTAACACTGCTGAACTTTAATCATCTTTACTTTTTAATCTAATTATGCTTCCACATAAAAGACATTTTTCAATTTTAAGTATGAAACCAGCACACAGCTTAACACTCAGTGTTATTGTTGTTAAAGGTTTTTGCAAAAGAAACTACAAGATATTCACATTTTGGTCTAAGACTGGGACCACTGTTCTCTTCACTAAAGTTCAACATATATTGATTTTGTTCAAAAAGAATGTTTCTGCCCATCAAGAAAGGGATCAAGAAAGGGCCAGAAGACAGGACTCAAGAGAGAACACCTAGCCTGGTCAGAGAATGTGGATGAAGGAGGAAGAAGAGGATGGAAGGAATTCTGCAGTACAAGCCACACACTGACAAGTAATCCAGGCACAACTCAACAAACACCGACAGTTTGGTCTACCTGACTGAGGACCTGTAACAGTCAGGCTCTATGCAGTTCAACCCTGAATTTTCCATTTGCTTGTTTCAATTTTTTGGAGAAGGAATGCTTTTCGTACCTCAGGCTGCTCCCGAAATTGTGGAAATCTTTCTGCCACAGACACCCTAGTGAGGCAAGAGCCATCGTACCATCCTAGAAATATCTATAAGACCACATGTTTATACTTTGAGTGACTTTGTGCAATTGCTAAATTTTAAGTGAGCTACTTGTAACTCTTATACCAGTGTCCTCCACCTTCTCATCCCACTCTTTCTGTATCACCACTTAAAATTAGTCATATGTGTGCTGAAAATTCAGCCTTAGCAGGAATGAAAGAAGATGTCTGTTGCACATTTATGTTGCTAACTGATGATTTTGTTGACATTTACAAAACAAATATACACAAACATAAAGTATAGATTTTTTCCTTATGATATATATTGAATATATTGATTTGTTTCTAATCTGGTTTTCTTAAGAAAATAACAACATTGAGAGTTATGTTAGAACATATACCTTTGCTATCTTTGGGCTATTGTAAAAATTAGTGTTGCTTTTTGTAAGGCAACAATATTTTATATCAGATTAATCTTTTTTGTTGTTTCTGAATTTTTCCAGTAGAGTTTTATGTAGGGTTGATTGCTCTAAAATTCACCATATTACAGAGGCTAGCCTTGAACACCTGTTTTTTCTGCTTCTACTTTCAAATGTTGGAGTTGCAGTTATGAATCACTGTACTGTTTACCATAATAATCTGTAAGAGAATGTTAGTTTAAGTAAAAGTAACATACTAATGCTATTATTCAACAAAAGTGAATATAAAATTTACTAGACAGTTAGTGTCCAATTTGAGGAGGTAATTTTAAAGTTTCATACTTACATTGGCATCTTTTCCAGCTAATTTACATAGTTCCACTCTTTCTTTAGCAGCAGGCCAATAAATCTGAAAGAACATATGAAGGTAAATTAGAATAGGCAAATTCAAAACATCTAATTCGAAAAGAGAATTAGTAATGCTAAAGAATAAACATCAACCATGGCATTGGAGTCCACATAGAAATATTTTCCAAAACATTTCTGTAAAATTTTCTGAATGAAAACTGTGAGAGGCCATTCATTTTTATTAACTTTCTTGATTTTAATGCATGCAGTAATAAATAAGTTATCCTCAATGGACTGCATCTTCCTATTGTGATGTGAACAGAACTTTAAGTTAGCATTTGTTGCATTCCTCAAGTTTGTCTAAGTTGTGGTGCCTTATAGAAATGTGTGTTGAGATGGTAGAAACAACTCTTAATCACTCACACAGCCTGTTACTCCCAGCCAAGGACTAGAGTCATTTGTTTGCCACATTTAGCATGCATGGAGCTCAGACACATCTGGCAAAAACCAAGTATTTTAGAATGACATCTTATTTAAATATCTTAATATCCCTAAAAAGCGACATACTTCCTGTCTTCATTTTCATATCAAAAAGCTTAATCACATAGCAATGAAATAAAACATAAAAGGCACAAAAATAGATAATGATAATCTGATCCAAATTTTATATCACCAAATATGAGAATCCTAACAGTTACATAGCAAAGGTAGTTTGGGCAAAGGGTGGATGCGAAGAGGCCCCTCCTCCCCTAAACATACTTTGGTTTTGGCAGTAATAAGTGATGATTCAGAAAATATTCTATGCATTTCTTGTTTATCTCTTTCTTTTCCTTTTAAAAAGTTTTGATATACTGTCAGAATGGGTTTGCAAAGCAGAGTTCAAATCATTATGGTGCTGCATTATAACTCACAGGAGCATAGGATTTATGTTGCCTGTGGCCAGGAAGAAGTAAGCAACATGAGATGGGTGTAGATAACACAATTTCACTCATGCCCACAATCTTTTACTGTTTCACACTGGTACTTGCAGAAAAATGTTTTAATGGCTGAAGGAAAAGTGTACTCTCTCTATGGTGTTATGATGGAGCCCCTGGTTAAGCCTGAAGTATGCAAAGTATTTAGATGTCACTAGGCTTTTATAATATTATCTTCATTGTGCAATCTGGAGTAAAAATTCTCTGAGCCAAGAAGAACAGAAGATAACACGCAAAACTCTTTCTTAATGGACAAATACAATAAAATATAAATACAGAAATTTCAAGACAATGAAAGTCTGCTATATTTAGAGAAAATATCTGTAATGTACGAATCGGTGTTGTAATCTGCACACCAGTGCTGTATACAGAACAATGAGCAAGCAAACCATGTGCTCAGGTGATGAATTCACCTTGATGTATGAGACACTAAAGGATCCAGAAATTCTGTTTACTCCAAAATGTGTTAAAGTTGTGTCATTCTCCTTTCATATAATTTCACCTAATAGCCATAAACCAAATATCACTGGATGAAAGTCATGGAAATAAATATGGAAGGAACTTAGTAACTCAATATCAGGTGAAAAACAGACCCAAATTACACAGTGATAGGAACATGAAATAGAGATGGTAAATAAAATAGTTATCCAAGCTGGCATGTTGCAACATGCTGTAATCTCAGTAGCAAGAAGGTCCATGTAAGAAGATATGGAGTTTGGTACCAGCCTGGGATACAGAAGACTTTGTTTCTAAACATCATTGCAAGAAAAAAAATGTGAGAGAAACTGATGGGGGAAGTCTTGTGTATTTGTCAATAAAGCACTGTTGGCCAATAGCGAACCAAGATAGGTGGGACTAGGAGTCCAGATGGACTCTGGGAAGGAGAAACATAGAGAGTCAAGATGTAACGCCATGGGGTAGGAAGCCCGGAAAGTTCTCCGGTAAGAGAAATACTTAGATTATCAATTAAGGGATAAATACTTAAGTCAGAGCTAACCAGTAAGAAACAAGCAAGGCCAACAACTTCATAATTAATATAGCCTCCTGTGTGTTTATTTGGGACTGATATGGCTCTGGAACAGGCTGGCGGGAAGGCTTCTCTGAAGGAAAAGGTTTCCCTTGACAAGAAACAAATGGAGATAGAAGGAAGGAGGGAAGAAATAAGGAGGAGGGAAGGAATGGAGGAAGGAAAGTATGAGGGAAGAGTGAGTGGAAGTGAGAGAGGGAGGGACAACAAAGGGAGAGAGAGGAAAAGAAGTTAATGAATGAAGAGAAAGGAAAGATAGGAATGAGGGGACAGAGAGATGGTAGATGCACAATAGATGGATGAATAGATAGATAGATAGATAGACAGACAGACAGACAGACAGATAGATGAATAGGAAGGAAGGGAGAGAGAGAACTTTATTTAAGATGATGAGTAGAAGAAGCATGTAGGTTGTTCTACATTATGATGAGGGTTTTGTGCATTTTGGGACATTTATAGCATAATTATATTTAATCAATCAAAACATAAAATATACATTTACTAACAGGTAGGCAATAGTGTATGAAAAACGCCTGAATCATGATGTCCTAAATGCATCAATAAACTGGTTAAAAAACAGAATAGTCTGGATCTGTCAAAAATTCTATAAACTTATTTACATTTTTTTTCTTTTGTTTTATCAGCTAGTACAAAAATACTGTACTAGGTATTTTTTTCTCTTTTAATAGTAATACTGTGAGCCGGGCGGTGGTGGTGCACGCCTTTAATCCCAGCACTCGGGAGGCAGAGGCAGGCGGATCTCTGTGAGTTCGAGGCCAGGCTGGACCGACAGCCTCCAAAACAATACAGAGAAACCCTGTCTCGTAAAACCAAAAAAAAAAAAAATAGTAATACTGTGAATTTACCATCTTTGCTACACCTCTGTGTTCATGAACTAGTTATGAACTGTTTTTATTTATTGCAGTTTTGGTGCCACCTTTGTTGTTATAGAATAATTTCTTAAACTTCATATTGTTAATACAAAAGTACTAACCAGCATGGTGGTTCACAACTTAACTCCAGCGCTTGCAAGACAAAGGCAAGCTAGCCTTTGTGAATAAAGGACCAACTTGAGGTTTATATACTGAGGACCAGGATAGCCATGGCTATATGATAAGATGTTGTTGACTACCCATGGGAATTCTTACGCTTTCTAAGGGCTAGTTGGGTGTACATAGGGGAAAGGTGGGGGAGCAGGAAGAAGGGAGGTTGGGATTACTGTAGTTGGTATGTAACATGAATAAAAGATTTAAAAAACAAAAACAAGCCACAAAGAACAGAAATGCTACATAAACTTTTTCTTAAAGTGAATCCTCACTTTTGCAAAGGTCAGCAGCCTATCATGGTCTGAAAGAAGATACACACCCATGATCTGGTTTTATTTTTTAATTCCTTGTGCTTACTAGATCATTAGTTTAGACTAACATTTCTTTGTATTTCAATAAATCAGTCTATTTATTTTAATTTCAGTAATGGTCAGATTTAGTAGTAGTATAAGAAGAAATTTATTACAAATATTTATAGCTTTGTTTAAACCTATGTAGGTTGGTGATATTAATATGGTAGTTAAAAAGTACAAATATATACATTTTACATAAGTATATGAGTTCCAAGGATCACAAATATAAACATGGGATTTTTTTTTCTTTATAAAACTAGTGAACTAAATGGTTAAGTTAGTAAAACTTGAATTAAATTATATCTTCAAAATTGAATTTAAAACTGATGTTTGGGATATCTAAAACCAAAAACTTCTTCAGTGATGACAAAACACTGAGACAATCTTTTCAGTCCCAGTATACACTTTAGGACAGTTTCAATGTTGCTATGGCATAGGTGCTGTTCCTTGTGTACACTGGGTGGACACATCTGAAGGCCTTGTACAAGCCAGTCCCAGAGCCTGATGAAAGGGATCATATTTACTCAGGGAGAAAAGTCTACCAAATAATTACTTTGTTTCCATGGGCTACAAAAAGTGAGAAGAAAGTGTTCAGGAAGAAGCTATATAGCAATGGAAAACTAAGGAGTGCTGCTGGCCATCTGTCTTTCTAAATCATTCTTGAGTGATCATTTCCAAGACTTGCTCCTAATACTTTCATAGCTAAATTTTTTTCCCGTATAAATTTTTTAATTAATATTTTTTTTCCATTTTAAATTTAGATAAGACACAAGGTTGCTTCACAAGTCAGTACGAGGTCCCTCTCCCTTTCCCTCCCCTCCTCCCGTGCCCTCCCCCCATCCCCTCCCCCGTTATCCCCTCATTCCCCCAGGGAGGGTGAAGCCCTCCATGGGGGTGTCCATAGTCTGTCATTTCATATAGGGCAGGGCCTAGACCCTTCCCCAAGAGTTCAGGGTGAGAGTGCACCTCACATTGTTCTATGGGAGTCCAGAGACCGTGTGTATACTTGTGATGGGTACTGATCTGCTGTCCAAGGCTCAATAGATTACCTAGGCCTCCTCACTGACACCCAGATTCAGGGGGTCTTGATCAGTCCCATGCTGGATTCCCAGGCTGATGCCTGGGATTCAAGAGTTAACCTTTGTCTGGTCAGCTGTTTCTGGGGGTTCAACCAGCCCAGTCTTAATCCCTTTGATCATCAGTCCTCCCTCTCTGATACTGGCTTTCTTGAGTTCAGCTCAGTACTTAACCAGCCAGTAAATGAAGTTTCTGTTTCCCAGACTCTCTGGCCATAGGATTGTAGGCTGGCACTCCCCAGATCTATGTCTAAAATCCATATATGAGAGAGTACATGCCATGTTTCTCTTTTTGTGACTGGGTTACCTCACTCAGGATGGTTTCTTCTAGTGTCATCCATTTGCCTGCGAATCTCATGATTCCATTATTTTTTTCTGCTGAATAGTACTCCATTGTGTAGATGTACCACATTTTCTCTATCCACTCTTCGGGTGAGGGACATCTAGGTTGCTTCCAAGTTCTGGCTATTACAAATAAAGCTGCTATGAACATAGTGGAACAGACATCTTTGTTATATGGATGGGCATCTTTTGGATATATGCCTAAGAGTGCAGTTGCTGGGTCTTGTGGTAGGTTTATTCCCA